TTCGGTATTTACAGTATTGGCTAGCGTGACTGGGCTCGGGTGAGAGAAGACGTATGTAGTGTCATCTGCAAATAGTGTGGGTTTGAGTAATTGCGAAGCATTTGGAAGGTCATTTATGTATAGGAGAAAGAGAAGAGGGCCAAGGACACTTCCCTGTGGGACACCAACTGTAATTGGTTGTGCAGAAGAGTTTGCCCATTTGCGTACACATATTGGCTTCTGTTGCTGAGGTAAGACTTGAGGTAGTTGAGGGAGTGCCCTCTTATACCATAGTGTGACAATTTTACGTGGAGCAAGTCATGGTCAACTGTATCAAAAGCTTTACGTAAGTCAATGAAGATCCCCAGTGGGACTTCTTTTTTCTCTATTGCAGTGTATATATGTTCTAGCATGTGTATAATAGCATCATTAGTATTTTTATTAGGCCTGAATCCAAATTGGCAGGGGTTGAGTATGTTTTGGGAGATAAGGTAGGAGTAGATTCGTTTATGAATTAATTTTTCGAAGATTTTTGAGAGAGGGTGTAAGTTGGATATTGGCCTATAGTTATTCAACTCTATTTGGTCTCCTCCTTTGTGGATCGGGGTGACCCTTGCTATTTTGAGTACTGTAGGGAAGGTGGAGGATTCAATGGATTTGTTAAAAGAGTGTTGCAATGATTGGTGATAGCACTTGTGACACTTTTTTGTATATAAGGGGTGGTAAGGTATTTAAATCTCCTGCCTTGTTTTTTAGTGCGTTGATAATAAGGGAGACTTCGTATGGGTTAGTCGGAGCTAGGAACAGTGTGTTCGGGTAGTTGCCGGTGAGGTAGTCATTTGGTGGGGTATCTGAGCTTGGGATTTTATTGGCAAGGTTTTGTCCTATAGTGGAGAAGAAATCATTGAGTCTGTTTGCTGTTTCTGTTGGTGGGAGTTGGGGTTCATCTGTTTTTGCTAATTTTATTTCGCTATTTCGTGATATCTTTTTGTTCCCAGAATTTCTGATAGGGTTTTCCAGGTCTTTTTTATATCACCTCGTAAGTTGGATAATCTGTTCTCATAATACAATTTTTTTGCCCTTCTTATCAGGCTGGTTAGGATTGACGAGTAACGTTTTGTTTGGTCTCTGGTTATGTGACCCATTCTGTACTGTTTTTCATATTGGTGTTTTGTATTTATGGATTTGAGAATGCTGGGTGTTAGCCAGGGACTGTTCAGTCTCTTTGCTGTCATCTGTTTAGTTTTTTTAGGGCAGTGCTTGTTATAGAGGTATTGGGTTTTTTTTAGAAAATTATTAATACATTCGTCAATATCTGTATAGGTTTCTAGCTCAGTGTGCCAATCAATGTTTGCTATTGCTGTTGTGAAGTTATTAATGGCTGCCTCATTGTGAAGTCTGAAGGTGACTTTAGTAGTGTCTTGGGGTAGTTTACCAAGAGTTGTTATGAGGAAAGTAGGGTAGTGGTCTGTGGTATTATCTGTAATTATGCCTGATTTTAAAGGGGATATGGTGTTGGTCCAGATGTGGTCAAGTAGGGAAACACTAGTCTCTGTAACTCTTGTAGGTTTTGTTACTGTTGGTAGTAACATACAGTTACTCATTGTGTTTGTGAATTCAGTAACGTGTGGGTCCTGGTCTTGCAGGAGATTTATATTGAAGTCACCTGAGAGTAGTAAGTGATCTTTGTTCATGCGTGCATCAGTTATCATACTTCCTAGATTTTGACTAAATTGGCTAATGTTTGACTGTGGAACTCTGTAGATGTTTATCAATGTGAGAGGTTTTTGTAGGTACTTTGATTTGAATTTAGCTATTATATATTCCCATGTTCATCCCTTGTGCAAGTATTAGTGATACATTCTAGTTGGTCTGAGTAGTATATGGCTGTGCCACCCCTTGTTGGTCTGGCCTACAGTTGTGTATGGCTGTGTAACCAGGAATGGCATAGACATCTGTACTATCAGGCTTTAGCCAGGTTTCAGTTAGTGTAATGATGGACATATTGGCATGTAAGGAATTTAGTAATGCTATGAGGTCATCGTAATGCTTGCTTAAAGATCTGATATTGTAGTTAAATATAGTTATGTTGTTGTTGGCACTGAGAAGTGCCTTTGATTGTTCTGCAGTGTAGTAATTACAGTTACTGTTTGATTCATTTAAGTCATTAAATAAGAGGTTGGTATCAGGATCAATGCTTGTAATCATAAGATTTGTAGTGAATCTATAAACAAGAACAAGAACTAGTAAGAAAATAGAAGAAAACCCAGAGGGGTGTATATATATATATGCTTGTACATGTATGTGTAGTGTGACCTATGTGTAAGTAGAAGTAGCAAGACGTACCTAAAACCTTGCATGTTTATGAGACAGAAAAAAGACACCAGCAATCCTACCATCATGTAAAACAATTACAGGTTTTCGTTTTACACTCACTTGGCAGGACGGTAGTACCTCCCTGGGCGGTTGCTGTCTACCAACCTACTACCTATATATATATATATATATATATATATATATATATATATATATATATATATATATATATATATATATATATATATATATATATATATATACGAAAAACAAGCACGGTGGGAGGTGCATGATAGCTCTAGGCCTTTCGTGTTGCAATCAACACATTATCAGGAGTTTGCAATGTTGCAGAAAAGAGGATGAAGTCCGAGCAAGCACGTCCAGTGTGAGCGTTGTTGCTAGCACAACCGACTTTCTGCTATAAATTTTATTAATTATAAAAAAATTCTCCCTCTTTTTATAATACATAATAAAAATTTAGCAGTGAGAAGCCTACGTCTAGTTGTAAGTAGTGTGTAATTATTATCATTAATTTACTCGTAATGCTCATGCATGTTAGTGGCTTTCTATGTGTTTAACTATATTTTATTACATGTAAACTACACATTAAAGAAAGAAACAAAAACAGAAATAAAAATTTTGAATTGGAATTATTTGCAATGTAATCCCTTAAGTAAACTGTCATAATACATACCCTGAGAGAAGATATATCTCCCATTATTTATTATCTTGTGTTGTTTACATGGTGTAATAACATTTAATATAATTTTTATAACCACCTGATGTTTGGTGTAAAATTATAAACAAAAGTGAGTGAATAAATGTTTGTTTTCTGAAGGTAATAATGTGTATGGTAAACAATGCTAGATAAAAAAAAAACAACGTTTCCTCTATTCAAATTCAAATTTTTATTTATTTTTGTGCAGTACAAAGATAATGTAGTTTACATGTAATGAAACATTGTTAAACACAAAAGAAAGTCGATCATATACAAGTTTAGTTCAGTCCAGCTACATGGCTCCAGCAGACGCTGGAATCTAATGGAAAGTATTTCCGGTTCCCTCACTTTCTTCTGAGTTTGTCACTTTGCTGCAGTAATAAACTAGTTTGACTGTCGTATATACACAACAAATCGATATTTCTATAAATAAGGCACACGTACAACGTTTGGAAACATTGTGTATCCCTGTAGGAATATTGCTAAGAGGAGGAATAACAGGTCATATACACTGAGAGGTGTGTTTCTCTCAGAGTAAATATGCTGAGATTTGACTTTAATCCCTATTTTATGGATCAAAGTATTCTTGTCTAGTGGTACAGAGGTTACATACAGCAGCCTTCATGACTCTGGTGTAGTTAATAGGCTGTCAGCCCCGTTAACCAACCAAGAAAGACGTTTTAATAATAATCTTTATTTCTACAAGGACATGAACAAGGTATACAAACGTAGGTGACATCAGTGATATACTACTATATAGAAAGCCGCTTGTTATGATGAGCATTTCGGGAAAATTAGTCATTTTTTTCCTCAGGATGTGACCCACACCAGTCGACTAACACCCATCTAGGTGAACATCTTAATGTTTCCACCAGTACCAGGTCCGTGGTACGGACCTGGTACCAGGTCAGTACCACGTACCAGGTCCGTACCACGGACCTCAGTGTGTGAGCTGAGTGCGCTAGCAATCCAGTTATGGAACACTACCTGGAGAGGTTCTCAGGGATCAACGCCCCTGCTGCCCCGTCCGTGACCAGGCCTCCTGATGGATCAGGAACTGATCAACCAGGCTATTACTGCTGGCCGCACGTAAACCGACATACAAGCCACAGTCCGGCTGGTCAGGTATGGACTTGACTGCAGGGAAATTAAGCTTGTTCATAGCACCAGCAGCTGAGAGAAAAGCTTCATTTGTTTTGATCAGTTTTTTATTAACCTAGAATATGAGTTTTTCCATCGTTTATAATATCTGTTAACTTGTTAAATCTGTCTGAATAGTACATTTGTTTGCAAGTTTCCAGTTATCCTTGCGAGGATTGTTCAGAACCACTTCACTATTTGCCACATAAGTTGTCCTGTGTTGATGGGGGTAAAGCTCAAGCTCGTGGACCCGTCTCTCAATCGGTAATCACCCATTTGTGTATTAAGCTATAGAAAAAATGTGTCCAGTTCTTGTATTCTCTATTGGTGCTGGCTGCAAGATTCTCAAGTTAGCAGACGTCAGTTTTCTAGGCATTATATGTCATTAATTCTTAAATACGTTATTCAACATTTCATTTCCTTAATTTATCAAAAAGAAGTGATAAATATTAAATGAAATTCCATATTGTTCCTAGTGTATAGTATTTTATTTGCTAACAAGGTAATTTATGACAAAATAATAAAAATACTTATAGCAGAAGGCTGAAAGAGAACCTGGAAAGAAATCAGTAATGGCTGAACAAATATTTGTGATAGTATAATCTAAGCAGCTTTCCTAAATAAATAAAAGACTGAAAGTGCTGAGGTACTTCAGTGAATCAAATACTCGTCACCAACAGTTGTCAAAAGATTTGAGTAATAATACATTTCTGAGAAAATATGTTATTATTTTTAACATTTACTCATCACTGATACTACTATATTTATAAAAGTTTGTAAGTTTAGCCGCTTTATAAATAATGAACAAGAACAGTACTCAAGTTTGTCAATATTATTGTTTGCTGGGTCATCTAAGGTCAGTGAGCTACTTTTGAAGGTCTCTGAGTTCCAAGTCTGCGATGTACCGCACCTCTCTCCTCACCTAATTGTGGTTGCAGGGGTCGATACTCAGCTCCTGGCCCAGCCTCTTCACCGAGTGCTACTAGGTCCTCTCTCTCCCTGCTCCATGAGCTTTATCATACCTCATCTTAAAGCTATGTATGGTTCCTGCCTCCACTACCTCACTTGCTAGGCTATTCCACTTCCTGACTACTCTATGACTGAAGAAATACTTCCTAACATCCCTTTGACTCATCTGGGTCTTCAACTTCCAATTGTGACCCCTTGTTTCTGTGTCCCATCTCTGGAACATGCTCCGTCATGTGCTCTTGAACTGTAAGCTCTACTCCTTGAGGAACTCCTGCCTGGATTACTGCAATAAAGAGTGGGGCCATGATAGAAGCCAAATCAGACAGCTGTATTGTTCGTTTGTTCACCTGAAGATTACATTCGGTTTCCACTCTTGCAGTCTTAAGTTTGTAGTTTTGAATGAGAAGCTTTTGGCATGGTGTTGCCCAGCTGTCTTCTACATTAAGGCCCATGTTGAAGGCTGTGTTGTGGACTAACTTGGCATAATTATGTTCTAGCAGAGTAAAATCACTTCCCATCGTCTATACATTAACTAGTAAATATTCTGGCACCTGTGGGCCATCTGCATCTAAATATCACATGTGTAAATCTTGCTGTTATCTTTGAAACTGTTTTTTTTTTCTTCCTCCAAAGTTTTTGTTTGTAACCTGAGAATGTCTCATCCGATAAACTTTAAATTCATACGCTGGTGTGTTGTCAGCAGGAAAAGGTTCTTGCAAATTCCCTTAGTTTATAGGTAAATAGATTTTACAAGTTTTTTGTACGATAACTCGATTATTATTATTAAAATCAAATTAAGCGCTAAACCGTAAGGGTCACACAGCGCTGTGGGTAGAAATGTGCGAAAGCAGAAATGCGCAAAAGCTAAGAATGAACGAAAGGTGTTTGTGGAGATGGGGCCGAATGCAAGAAAAAACAAAATCCAAGTTGGCTCAGTACGTTAGTTTCAGCTTAAAAAAAAAAAAAGTTCAAGGAAGAGTCTGCATCAAAGGTGGTACTTCCAGAGAGAAGGTGAGTGAGAGTGTGCTGGGTGGTACTTCCAGAGAGAAGGTGAGTGAGAGTGTGCTGGGTGGTACTTCCAGAGAGAAGGTGAGTGAGAGTGTGCTGGGTGGTACTTCCAGAGAGAAGGTGAGTGAGAGTGTGCTGGGTGGTACTTCCAGAGAGAAGGTGAGTGAGAGTGTGCTGGGTGGTACTTCCAGAGAGGAGGTGAGTGAGAGTGAGTGTGCTGGGTGGTACTTCCAGAGAGAAGGTGAGTGAGAGTGAGTGTGCTGGGTGGTACTTCCAGAGAGGAGGTGAGTGAGAGTGAGTGTGCTGGGTGGTACTTCCAGAGAGAAGGTGAGTGAGAGTGAGTGTGCTGGGTGGTACTTCCAGAGAGAAGGTGAGTGAGAGTGAGTGTGCTGGGTGGTACTTCCAGAGAGGAGGTGAGTGAGAGTGAGTGTGCTGGGTGGTACTTCCAGAGAGAAGGTGAGTGAGAGTGTGCTGGGTGGTACTTCCAGAGAGAAGGTGAGTGAGAGTGAGTGTGCTGGGTGGTACTTCCAGAGAGAAGGTTGAGTGAGAGTGTGCTGGGTGGTACTTCCAGAGAGAAGGTGAGTGAGAGTGAGTGTGCTGGGTGGTACTTCCAGAGAGGAGGTGAGTGAGAGTGAGTGTGCTGGGTGGTACTTCCAGAGAGAAGGTGAGTGAGAGTGAGTGTGCTGGGTGGTACTTCCAGAGAGAAGGTGAGTGAGAGTGAGTGTGCTGGGTGGTACTTCAGAGAGAAGGTGAGTGAGAGTGAGTGTGCTGGGTGGTACTTCCAGAGAGGAGGTGAGTGAGAGTGAGTGTGCTGGGTGGGTACTTCCAGAGAGGAGGTGAGTGAGAGTGAGTGTGCTGGGTGGTACTTCCAGAGAGGAGGTGAGTGAGAGTGAGTGTGCTGGGTGGTACTTCCAGAGAGGAGGTGAGTGAGAGTGAGTGTGCTGGGTGGTTACTTCCAGAGAGAAGGTGAGTGAGAGTGAGTGTGCTGGGTGGTACTTCCAGAGAGGAGGTGAGTGAGAGTGAGTGTGCTGGGTGGTACTTCCAGAGAGAAGGTGAGTGAGAGTGAGTGTGCTGGGTGGTACTTCCAGAGAGAAGGTGAGTGAGAGTGTGCTGGGTGGTACTTCCAGAGAGAAGGTGAGTGAGAGTGAGTGTGCTGGGTGGTACTTCCAGAGAGAAGGTGAGTGAGAGTGAGTGTGCTGGGTGGTACTTCCAGAGAGAAGGTGGAGTGAGAGTGAGTGTGCTGGGTGGTACTTCCAGAGAGAAGGTGAGTGAGAGTGAGTGTGCTGGGTGGTACTTCCAGAGAGAAGGTGAGTGAGAGTGAGTGTGCCGGGTGGTACATCCAGAGAGAAGGTGAGTGAGAGTGAGTGTGCTGGGTGGTACTTCCAGAGAGAAGGTGAGTGAGAGTGAGTGTGCTGGGGTGGTACTTCCAGAGAGAAGGTGAGTGAGAGTGAGTGTGCTGGGTGGTACTTCCAGAGAGAAGGTGAGTGAGAGTGAGTGTGCTGGGTGGTACTTCCAGAGAGGAGGTGAGTGAGAGTGAGTGTGCTGGGTGGTACTTCCAGAGAGAAGGTGAGTGAGAGTGTGCTGGGTGGTACTTCCAGAGAGGAGGTGAGTGAGAGTGAGTGTGCTGGGTGGTACTTCCAGAGAGAAGGTGAGTGAGAGTGTGCTGGGTGGTACTTCCAGAGAGGAGGTGAGTGAGAGTGAGTGTGCTGGGTGGTACTTCCAGAGAGGAGGTGAGTGAGAGTGAGTGTGCTGGGTGGTACTTCCAGAGAGGAGGTGAGTGAGAGTGAGTGTGCTGGGTGGTACTTCCAGAGAGAAGGTGAGTGAGAGTGAGTGTGCTGGGTGGTACTTCCAGAGAGGAGGTGAGTGAGAGTGAGTGTGCTGGGTGGTACTTCCAGAGAGGAGGTGAGTGAGAGTGAGTGTGCTGGGTGGTACTTCCAGAGAGGAGGTGAGTGAGAGTGAGTGTGCCGGGTGGTACTTCCAGAGAGAAGGTGAGTGAGAGTGAGTGTGCTGGGTGGTACTTCCAGAGAGAAGGTGAGTGAGAGTGAGTGTGCTGGGTGGTACTTCCAGAGAGGTGAGTGAGAGTGAGTGTGCTGGGTGGTACTTCCAGAGAGAAGGTGAGTGAGAGTGAGTGTGCTGGGTGGTACTTCCAGAGAGAAGGTGAGTGAGAGTGAGTGTGCTGGGTGGTACTTCCAGAGAGAAGGTGAGTGAGAGTGAGTGTGCTGGGTGGTACTTCCAGAGAGAAGGTGAGTGAGAGTGAGTGTGCTGGGTGGTACTTCCAGGGAGAAGGTGAGTGAGAGTGAGTGTGCTGGGTGGTACTTCCAGAGAGAAGGTGAGTGAGAGTGAGTGTGCTGGGTGGTACTTCCAGAGAGAAGGTGAGTGAGAGTGAGTGTGCTGGGTGGTACTTCCAGAGAGAAGGTGAGTGAGAGTGAGTGTGCTGGGTGGTACTTCCAGAGAGAAGGTGAGTGAGAGTGAGTGTGCTGGGTGGTACTTCCAGAGAGAAGGTGAGTGAGAGTGAGTGTGCTGGGTGGTACTTCCAGAGAGGAGGTGAGTGAGAGTGAGTGTGCTGGGTTGGTACTTCCAGAGAGGAGGTGAGTGAGAGTGAGTGTGCTGGGTTGGTACTTCCAGAGAGAAGGTGAGTGAGAGTGAGTGTGCTGGGTGGTACTTCCAGAGAGAAGGTGGTGAGAGTGAGTGTGCTGGGTGGTACTTCCAGAGAGGAGGTGAGTGAGAGTGAGTGTGCTGGGTGGTACTTCCAGAGAGGAGGTGAGTGAGAGTGAGTGTGCTGGGTGGTACTTCCAGAGAGGAGGTGAGTGAGAGTGAGTGTGCTGGGTGGTACTTCCAGAGAGAAGGTGAGTGAGAGTGAGTGTGCTGGGTGGTACTTCCAGAGAGGAGGTGAGTGAGAGTGAGTGTGCTGGGTGGTACTTCCAGAGAGAAGGTGAGTGAGAGTGAGTGTGCTGGGTGGTACTTCCAGAGAGAAGGTGAGTGAGAGTGAGTGTGCTGGGTGGTACTTCCAGAGAGAAGGTGAGTGAGAGTGAGTGTGCTGGGTGGTACTTCCAGAGAGAAGGTGAGTGAGAGTGTGCTGGGTGGTACTTCCAGAGATGAGGTGAGTGAGAGTGAGTGTTCTGGGTGGTACTTCCAGAGAGAAGGTGAGTGAGAGTGAGTGTGCTGGGTGGTACTTCCAGAGAGAAGGTGAGTGAGAGTGAGTGTGCTGGGTGGTACTTCCAGAGATGAGGTGAGTGAGAGTGAGTGTTCTGGGTGGTACTTCCAGAGAGAAGATGAGTGAGAGTGAGTGTGCTGGGTGGTACTTCCAGAGATGAGGTGAGTGAGAGTGAGTGTTCTGGGTGGTACTTCCAGAGAGAAGATGAGTGAGAGTGAGTGTGCTGGGTGGTACTTCCAGAGATGAGGTGAGTGAGAGTGAGTGTTCTGGGTGGTTTAGACAAGAGAATTGAGTCCTGCATGCACTCTGATAGGCAGGGCAATCTATTAATAAATGTTGGAAGGACAATACAACTCGACAGTCCTTTCAGAGTAGTGCCGGTTATTTCTCCGTGTGGCTGGGTTGGCAGAGAACTCACCTCACGCACTGAATGTCCACGACAGTCAGGATCATAGGAAAAAGGCAGGTAAACTTGACAGTTCCTTTTTGAAGTTCAGAGTACAGTTCTTTGCAATACATCGCATTGTTGCACGGTTCAGTTGTGTAGAAACTTATTTCTTGCCAACCCCTTCTATTTGCGTAGGTTAGATATTCCTCCTCTTCTTCTTCTTCCTCTTCCTCGGATAGTTATATATCTTCAGTAGGTTGGTAGGCTTGAGACGAAGGCTGTGATTGGTCAGGAGCAGTGGTGGAATTTGTTGGTGGCACGTCGGTGTTGGTGAGATTTGTAGGAGTCTTGTCAGTAGCTGGAGATGGTTTTGGAACGGTGCTGTGGGCAGAGGGAGTTGTCAGAGCTGTGAAGCTGATAACTTTTAGAATAATCTTGAAGGTGTAGAATGAGGGAATGTGAAGCTTGGCATATTGTTGAATTTGAAGAGTTCGTTGTGTTGAAGGATCCAGGTTGTGCAACATTGGCCAGGTGAGCCTACATCATGCAGTAAAGAATTTTTGCTGGAGCGCTATCTGGTAGTGGAGAGAGTGAGTTACTGGTGGAGGACATCGAGTGAGTGGCTTCGAGAATTTTTGTGATGTCAGCTTGAAGCTATGTAGTGACAACATACGTTGGAGATTTGGTAGATGTCTTCTTTTGTTCTTGGTTTTAATTGATAATATCTTATCACATAGGGCATTTGGTTGCAAGAGTGTATTGTCAACTATTACAGTTAAAACATTCTAGAAGAGATATGTTGGTGCAAGTCTTGAAATTATTTCCTTTACAGCCAAAAGTCGAGCAGAATTTCTTATTCTTGACAGGACAGTCCTTTGCAAGATGCAAGTATGAATAGCAACTCCAACAGTTTGTGATGTGTTTATATCGCTCAGGTTCATTGTGGCTAGGATTTATGTAGTAGTAAA